AAACAAGAAGTAAGTTGCAGGGAACAGACACACCTCTAGCGAACGTGGGAGTGCTCTCGACCATCTGATAAAACATAGATCACGGAGCCGGCAGACAGGCGCGCGCAATCGGCCGGTAGAAGGTAAGCTTTTCCCAACTTTTAAGGGGTGTACGAGAGACAAACTGTTAATTTAGAACCTTGCAATTTATATTATATGTGGCCTCGATTCATATTCAAAATCCATCTATACGAAGTTCCAAAAATAGAAATAAAATCCATCTACACGGAAGGTTCTCTCCGCCGCCGCCGAACCTTTCTTTCTTTCTCTTCTTCCTCTCCCGACTTTTCCCGACTCCTTCGGTTCCTCACCGGCCACCTCCACCCCTCAGGTCTGAACCCTCTCGCGCCGCCGCCGTCGCCGCCGTCGCTGTCGCCGTCCCGTTCTCCATCTCGTCGCGCCTCCGCCTACCTTCAGGTACGAGCCCGCTGCCATCCCCGCTGGCGCCTCCCCGATTTTCGGATGCGCGCAGCCTTCTAGATCCGCCGCTTGGTGCGGTGCCAACGGCAACTGGATCTGCCGACGTTGTTACTCCGCGAAAACCCGCTGCTGGATCGACCTTGCGTGTTCTGGAAGTCTGACGAGTTTGTTAGCGTAGAGAGAAACTGGATCTTGCTGAGGGCAGCACGGTTCTCCCATGCCTTGTGTCTGTTTATCCCTGGTTAGGGTTCAGGGGTTCTGGTTATCGCAATTAGGCTTCAGGAGCTCTTGTTGCGGCCTAGCTTGGTGAAGGGCAATTGTCAATTCTACTGCCGATTTGTTAGAGATGCTGGTGTAGCACAGGGTTTCACCGATTTAATTAGTTCATGCTCCGACGAACACGTCTACCTGAATTGGACACCATATCTAGTATTTTGATTTATGCCAACTTAGCACCCCGGATGATTCCTTGTACAGTATGGTGCTGGGACGCTGTTGAGACGCACGTGTAGCGCTCTAGGGGTTGTCCTGTAAGTCTGTAAGTCTGAATAACGGTGCTTATATCATCGACGATGACTCGAAACACTAGTATCCACTTTGTACTGAAGATTTTTGTACGGTGTGTGTGTTTCCTGACCTGTCATGGTATATGTGGGTTCATTTGCCATGATCAACTACTCCAGATAGTGTTAGAACTTAGAACTAACTTGGTTAGTGTCGCTAAAGTAAACGGCATCTGTAGTGGTTGGGGGTTTAATGCACACCCTTGTGTTCTTCATCTGTTAATTGGAGGCGCCGTGGAGAAAATTCATAAGTTCACTTAGCATTTTGTATTGGAGTGTGTTACTATGTTATTCTTTAACACTTCGTAACTTGGCATTTGTTTCTTGTTCGCAGTTTAGGGTGGGATCATGTCTTCTGCAATGGAGTCATCGTACCTTCCTGCCACTACTGAGTCAATTGAAAAAGCTCAGGAGGCTAAGGATGCTTCAGAGTCAATTTCAATCCTTTACCGTCTGATCCAAGACCCGTCTTCATCTGCAGATGCACTGAGAACAAAAGAGCTTGCGATTACCAACCTTACAAACTACCTCACTAAAGAGAACCGTGCCGAGGATCTGCGAAATCTCTTGACCCAGCTGAGGCCGTTTTTCTCACTGATTCCCAAGGCCAAGACTGCAAAAATTGTCCGTGGAATCATTGATGCTGTCGCCAAGATTCCTGGAACATCTGATCTTCAGATCTCGCTCTGCAAGGAGATGGTGGAATGGACGCGTGCAGAGAAACGTACATTCCTCAGGCAGCGTGTGGAGGCAAGGTTAGCGGCCCTTCTTCTGGAGAATCAAGAGTACACTGAAGCCCTGACCCTCCTTACTGGACTTATCAAGGAAGTCAGGAGACTTGATGACAAGTTGCTCCTTGTGGACATTGACCTTTTGGAAAGCAAACTCCACTTCTCTCTGAGAAATCTGCCTAAGGCCAAAGCTTCACTGACCGCCGCAAGAACAGCGGCGAATGCCATTTATGTTCCACCAGCTCAGCAGGGCACTATTGATCTGCAGAGTGGAATCCTTCATGCGGAAGAGAAGGACTACAAAACTGCTTACAGCTACTTCTTTGAAGCATTCGAGGCCTTCAATGCACTGGACGACCCAAGAGCTATATCCAGCTTGAAGTACATGCTCTTGTGCAAGATAATGGTCAACCAGGCTGACGATGTTGCTGGAATAATCTCATCTAAGGCTAGCCTGAAGTATGTGGGTTCTGATGTTGATGCTATGAAAGCTGTGGCTGATGCCTACTCTAAAAGATCTCTCAAGTACTTTGAAACCGCCCTTCGTGATTTCAAAGCCCAGCTGGAGGAGGACCCTATTGTCCACAGGCATCTTTCATCTCTGTATGATACCCTTCTGGAGCAGAACCTCTGCAGGTTGATTGAGCCCTACTCGAGGGTGGAGATTGAGCATGTCGCGCAGATGATTGAATTGCCAGTTGACCATGTCGAGAAGAAGCTGTCACAGATGATCCTTGACAAGAAATTTGCTGGTACTCTGGATCAAGGTGCTGGTTGCCTCATTATCTTTGAGGAGCAGAAAACTGAGGCCATCTTCCCTGCCACACTCGAAACTATTTCAAACGTTGGGAAGGTTGTGGACAGTCTTTACATGAGGTCCGCAAAGATCATGGCTTGAACACTAGTACCCACATGATAGTTTATCTGTTGGCTATGGTTTCATCTTGTAACAGTTCTGTTAGTCTCTTTCTAGACATTTAATCCTGCCTGTTTGACACTTTATTCTGCATGTTTGGGTTTTTAGTTGAAAATATATACCATGCTCACAAACAGAATAGTTGGTTGTTTTTTGTATGGTTGGCGTGTACCATGAAAACTGGGTGGTTCAAGTATGAACCATGTTATGCTGCTGCAACATTCTTTTGTGATAATTTTCCATTAATTTTTTTTTCCTGTATGGCATAGATATGCTTCATACACAATGCTGAGAGGTTGGATGGCTTTTCACTGGCATCGGCGGTCAATATGCTGAGTTGAATCTATGCATGGATTGTCCTGGGGTTTTTATCTGTGTTGAGGATAAATGTCAATGCTGCTATGAATATTGAAATCGATGTTTGTAGTTACAAGACTTGTGTGATTTCTTCATGTCAGCTGCTGCCCTGTCAGCAGCGATTTCTGTGTACCAGTCCTGCAGTGCTTTCAGAGTTGTAGATATACCAGGTTAAAGGGTACACTAGAGTTACAAAAAAGTTGGTACACTAGAAAGGCCGCGCCATAGCGGACCCATATAATTTTTCTCCAATATTGTGGTTCTGAAAAACCTCTGAAAGTATAGCAAGTCATCAGGTACAACCCCTGAGACCATGTCATCTGCTTGCTTATTGTCTGGAGCACCATCAGGAGTGTCATCTTATGCATGGTGGAGCCATTCTTTTCAAAATTGTGCGCCATGTTTATAGGGTTCTCGAATCCGCCTTGCCATTGGCACTCTTTCTGATCATGAGTAAAGACAGAACTGATTTGATCCCATTTCATCTCTTATGAAGAACAATAGGAAGCTCAGTAAATGTAGTTCTCTGGATATGTTACTCGAATAATTCCTACAAGAACTTCTCCAGGCCATAAATCAAGTTCTGCAAAAGATGCGATTAATTATTTGTTTCGGTGTAGAGATGCTGTCTCTGGAATACATACTGAAGAAAAAGGAGTGCGCCAGTTACCTTCAACCGTATCACCTTCCGTATTGCCAGAATCAGTCCTGGCATCAGGCTCTGGACATCTGTAACATCATGCTTCAAGGTGTAAACCTGAAAATATTGTTACTGTGGTCAGTTCATCCAAAGTTCAGTCAAAAGTATTATTAGAGCTTAAGTACCTCTCCGGGGCCCGACAAAACGACCGACGTGCTTGAGGCAAGTCCTGGAAGAACCATGCTGTGCACACGCACTCCATCTTCTCCGAGTACCTGACCTCTGGCCTTTAAAACACTAGCCAGTCAGTTTGTGAAAAACACATCATTTACTGTTTTCAAGTTGCTGTTATAGAGATGAAAATTGATTACTCAAATGCACATCGAAAGTAAAATTTCTGAATATCTGTGCTGCGCTTACTGGATTATCGGAATCCATATCTTGTCTGTTGTATATCTGACCAAGATCAGATATGTTATTCGCAATCTGTATCGCGTCTGGCGATGGCAAGTCCTGTCAATGCCAAATACATCAGTCTAGCGATCTGCACATTGCTGATAGCACATCTAGACAACAGTATCTAGTAGATGTTTTCCTCATGGGTACTGTAAACTTTTTTCCTTAGGCATGCATATCATGGTTAGTGCAGAGGGTTAACTTGTCGGAGGTGCTTCGTACCGATGGGTTAGGTCTTGATTCCACTATCTCGACGTTGTTGTAGTGGAATGAGGCCTGGATTGCAGCTTGTTGAAGGAGCACCGAGCCGATCGACAGTGTCGGTGCGACCAAGCAACCCTGGCCATGGACTCGGCATAAGGTTGCATGTTATGTTTGAATGTTCTGATCATGGTGAATTTTAGAAACAATCGAGAGCAGTAGTAGCCTTACCATGCTTGCCTTGTCGCAGAATGCTGACAGTTCAGTTACTGTGTCCATCTCGATTTTCGGAACGTATACCACACTGCTTAAGCCAAATGCTGCTGCCTGCGTGTGAACCAGTTTTGGGTGGTCAGATAGTGTATTAGTAGATTTCATCCAAGTGTCAATGGAGAGGTTGCACAGCCTGAAGCATCCATCCAAGAATCATTGACCTGAAAAGGTAGCATAGCATCCACTTTGTTTTGCAATTCAGTTTACATTCTACAAGTAAAGATGTTATTCTGCATCTTCCTGGGAGTAGTACTAAGTAACTGAACAGCGTATGAATTTAGTCCTGAATGGCGGCATTACCGTACCACCATTGTTGTGGTTTCTGACATGCTTTATTGAGGTACTACTAGTATTGGTTTGCTACTTCCTACTTGAATTAGGCTTTTGCAATTCTGGATGCATGCCCATGGAGTTCGTAGTAGATTCATTAGATAGATAACGTACCTGCTTGACATTGTCGTAGACGGATGAAGGTTCACTGAAATCAACAACCACACCAGTCGCTCTTGTCTGAAAAGAGCAGAATCTGCCTGCGGTCAGCGAAACGCGCACCCGACAAGAAGCACATGATAGATAAATCATCGTTTCACGGATGAAGATTGTGCCAATTGGTACCTGTGCTATGGAGCCGAGAACCATGGTGAGGTCGTTGAGCACCGGGATCTCCAGGGCTTCGTCCATGCCACTTAACTGAAGAAACAGCACACAGCACTCACAAACCGCAACAGAGCAAAAAACAGAGGCAGAGCACGCACCCACGTACCTCTCCTGCATCCATCCCAATGCACTGGGTGTCAATGGCGCCCGCCAGCTCCATCCCCCGCGCCCTGCTCACCGCCGCGATCGCCGCCCTCCCCATCTCCTTGGTCGCGCCGACGATGACCACCTTAAGAAGTCAGTCGCCAGGGGAACAGCAGGGCGTCAGAGACGACAGTCCGAGCAGAACACAAGCAAGCAGCCACGGCCCCCATTCTGCATGTGGCAGCAGTACCTTGATGGTGCTCTGCGACGGCGGCGCCTGCGCGGCTGCGGCGGAGCAGGACACCCTGGCGGCCGCGTTTCTCCTCGGGCCGCGCGCTGATCGGGTGCGGTGGTGGTGGACGGAGTTGGGGCATGACGACGAAGCGGGCGTGCCGATGCCGACGCCGGCTTTGCAGGGGGTCGTGGAGCAGGGGAGGAGGTTCAGGAAGCAGCGCCCTCCCATTGCCCCGTGGTAGTTCATGCTCCTGTGAGCTATCTTATCTTGTTGCCGAAGCTGGAGACGCCCATAGTGAGTGAGTGAGTGAGTGAGTGAGTGGCTTGGGACGAGTGATCGATCACTTGGGTTGGGTAGCAGCAGCTCGCACAGTCACGCTGCATGTTTGTTAGTACAAGTGAACGTGGTCAAACATGGTCAAACCCGGTCAACGTGCTTAAAATCTGGTTTTGGACCAGACTTATTCGGTTTTGAGACTTGAAGGACCAAATGTATACCAAAAAATGACTTGAGAGACCAAAAACATGCTTTTCTCTTAAATCTTAATTGATCTGAATAGTTCTCTTCTGTTTGGAAAATTGAAAACAAGCAAAGTTCTGGAAATAGGAACCTATCAGTTTCCTCAGATCAGAAGAGGAAATAAAACTACTATTAACAAACACTAAAAGATCATAGCTGTTTCAAAAAGAAAAGATCATATAAAGAACACACTAGAAGATGAGGAGAGCAAGAGGGCCGCAGAGACACGGTTATGTTTTTCAAAAACAAGTCATACATCACTTTATTGCCAAAGAAGGACACACCGTTGGAGATGCGAGATTACAGGCCCATCTCGCTTGTGCATAGCGCACCAAAACTGGCTTCCAAGATTTTGACGAACAGACTGCAGAAAAGAGTCCCGGACCTTGTTCACCCCATGCAATCCGGGTTTTTACAAGGCCGATATATAGTGGAAAACTTTGTGATGGCTGCGGAGATGGTTCAAACTGCTCATAAAAGGAGATTGCCAACTATTGCCCTAAAGTTGGACTTTCAGAAGGCTTTTCATTCAGTCAGTTGGGACAACCTTTTTTAGGTTATGGAAGCCAGAGGCTTCCCTACAAGGTGGGCACAGTGGATCAATGCCCTTCTCTCCTCGGGCAGCTCTAGAGTGCTTCTTAATGGGGAGCTTGGGGACCCCATTGTTGCTAAAAGAGGGTTTAGGCTAGGGGATTCCTTGTCACCATATCTGTTTTTGCTTGTAGCTGATGTGCTCCAGAACTATGCTTGTACCACTTCAGGAACGACAACCTTGTGCACCCTCTTGGATCAAACATACACGACTCCTTCCCGATCCTGCAATACGCAGATGCCACCCTTATCATCTTCCGTGGGGATGTTCAACTGGCCAGTGTGATCAAGAGCATCCTATCTGCTTTCTCAGCTTTCTCTGGGCTCAATATCAACTTCCTCAAGAGCACGATGGTGCCTATCTGCATGGACGAAGGTACCACTGCTGAGATTGCTTCTTTGCTAGGGTGCCCGGTGTCCTCCTTCCCATGCACCTACCTGGGGCTGCACATGTCCGTTCATAAAATCAACCATGGTATGCTGTTGCCTGTCATCCACAAAGTTGATCACCGGTTGTCTGG